TAAAGAGTTGCCTCCTACATGACTAGGCAGGTCCCAGCTTTGTTTAAGTGGAAGATTGGTTATTTCTTTTTCTCGCCTTCTGTCTGAGGATGGGGTGTGCAGGAAAGTAGGGAAGCGATAGCGCGGATCCAATGGGGATTGCATTGTTTGTCCACTCCCAATTGGAAAAATGATTGGACATTTGCCAAGTGTGGAGAAATTAGCATTCATACTACCTCATCCAAGTGGGTCTTGATAACCAGCTGACATTGAGGTCACACCAGATGCCAGAACAGATGCCTCATTCCCCCCTGTCTAATGTAATAATAATAAAACTTTATTTATATTCCGCCCTATCTCCCTTGAGGGACTCAAGGCAGATTCCAACAAACAAAAAGGCAAACATTCAGTGCTTCAATGACAATAAGTACCAATATAATAACCCGGAATAATGCCACTTAAAAGATACCTTAAACATAACAACTATAACTTAATAAAACATAATATATTGAAAATTATAACTAACATAAAATGTGAACATAAAATGTCTAGGCCCAAGCTATTCTAATGCTATTGGCCAGGCTTTTTGCTCCACCAGCACTGCATTGTCTGGTGACCTGAAAAGTTTTGAGAATTTGCAAGGTTCTCTTAAATATAAATGTTTTGAAACACTTTTGAAAGTTCCTGTGTATTTAGCACCTGTGATTTCTGCAAAAAAGCTCCCATTTCTGGATGTGAACACCCTTTCTCAACATACATTGTTCTCAGGAGATCAAAATGCCAACTTTAGAAATTACATCTGTGATTTTAGATGTTGATTCCGCTTTATTGTTGCTCTTGTATGTTAGAAAAGAGTCTGTGAGGGTAAGCATCTGTTTCAGAATTATCTGTTCCAAAATCTTTTGAATTTATGTGGCGTTTTTTGTATTGTATTGTGTTATGTTTAATGTTTGAATTAGCAAGCCACTTCAAGGTCCTATTAATAAAGAATGCCTACTTTTCTAGTTTTGCAATTGACTGTGGTGTCTGCTGGAATTAGGATTTAAGCTGCACTCAAGACAAGCAAAATATATAGGGAGAAATAGTGAGGCAGAACAATTGCAGAGTGATATTAATCTGTAAAGTGAGGTAGAACAATTCCAGTGTGGTATTAGTCTGCAGCAGCCTTGCTTCAACTGTAGGTACACCTGCTTACCTCTCCCTGACATACTACAGTGACCAAGAAAAGGCTTTGTTGCCAGCCCCAACTAATTTTGAAAGGCAGAGTCTGTCATAGTATGGGATGCCTAGTATTCAGTTGCATGGTTGTTTTTTGTGGTGACTGTTTCTTAACGATAAGATTCAGCAAACAGTATGCTGTTGTAGGTCAAATATTCCTGGCTTGGGCCTGCTTCCATTCACTTGTAGTTTTAAGTTGTCAAAGCTACTTGGCACTTCCTTGTTGCCAGGAAGTATGCCATGCATAATCCAAATGGCACTGGACAAACTTTTCAATAGCAGCACCAGTTTCTTTAGCTTCCCACTAACATTGCTTATCATCCTTGTATAAGCATACATTCATGCACACATACTTTGACCTCATTTATTTTTTGTGTGTCATGTTTACGAAAAATGAAACTTTGAGTTGTACTTGCTTTGAAGGTCATTTGCCACTACATTTTCAATGCTGTTGACTAAATATTACAGTTCTCATACTTCTTAAAATGTCAAATGTTATTTACTATCAAATCAGGTAAATAAGAGATAAGATAACAGGAGTGGAATGAAATAAGGACAACTTTTATTAACTAGTTACCTTTTATGCTGATTCTTGTAGATTGCAAATCAATTGTTTGGGGAAGCAATTTTATTTGGGAGCGGCTGAAGTGGTTGGTCATCTCTAACATGAGCCCCCAGCCTCCCCTGGGAAAAACACTAAGCTCTGATTAACATGGTTGCCCAAAAGTCCAGCTCATATACTGGAAGGCTAATCAAAGAATGTAAGACCCTAAAACTGCTTTGGCGTCTAACTAGGGCAAAGACCCCAAAACCAGCCCTAAGGACAGGTAAACAACCCCAGCCCCCACATTGCCTGATTCACAGGAAAAGTTCAAAAGTCCAACACACAAAGTGCCAGTAGGTAGAACACCGAATAATAGCTTCCCCAATGCATGCTGTGGAACCTATTTAATTAACACCACCCGAAGCCAATTGTCTGTAAGTCTGTGACAGTGTAGGGTGGGTGAAAAAACCTCCAAGAAGGAGACAGGATTCCTACTTGTCCCCTAAGGCAACCACATCAAGCTATGAAAGGAGGCGATCAGGTGAGCTGAAGAATTTCAAAGAGGAAGAAGAGGGTGCATGACTGGTTTATGTAGTCTGCACAAGCCATGCCCCCTCACCCCATAGTTACCAACAAAAATGGTTCCTGCTCATCCCTGGATGCCAGCAAATTGATTTACCCCACCCTCACTGGGATGTGCAAGTGTGTTTTACTTAAATGAACTTGAAATAAGATTGTTGTTGTTCATTCATTCAGTCACTTCCGACTCTTCATGACTTCATGGACCAGCCCACGCCAGAGCTCCCTGTCGGCCATCACCACCCCCAGCTCCTTCAAGGTCAAGCCAATCACTTCAAGGATGTCATCCATCCATCTTGCCCTTGGTTGGCCCCTCTTCCTTTTTCCTTCCATTTCCCCCAGCATAATTGTCTTTTCTGACCTTTCTTGTCATCTCATGATGTGGCCAAAGTACTTCATCTTTGCCTCTACTATCTTTCTGTCCAGTGAGCAGTCGGACTTCATTTCCTGAAGTATGGACTGGTTGGATCTTCTGGTGGTCCAAGGCACTCTCAGCACTTTCCTCCAATACCACAGTTCAAAAGCAGCTATCTGTTAACTGTTAACCTCTGGAAGATACATCCCAAGATACACAGCCATCTTTCACTAAATGGGGAAGTGCAAACCTCAGAAAATAAAACCTGCAGTTGTGCTTCTCTTACAAAACTAAGTCCTTTTGACAGAGAAAAAAGAATAAAGGAACTCACAGGCATTCATAAGCATGGAAATGTAAAGGAACCCTATTGTGTTAATTTTAGTTGCTTTATTCTAATGATAATTGTGCCTTAAATGATGACAGCTAAGCTCTACTAAGCAGTAGGATCCTTCTTTATTTTATGCATCGAAGTGCCAAGAGATACCCAAAAATTTGTGAAGTACCTAGAGGGGAAACTACCCCTGCTGCTTATCAGATTTTAGAAAGTAATCACCATTTGAAATTTGTGAACGTAATTCTCTGAGTCTTGGAAGTAGGCAGAGCAAGAAGCAAATTAATTGCAGGAATAGACACAATAAGTACATATTTATAACCAGGACTCAGCTATCAGAAAACTTTCTAAAAATTTCCCCAAAGTACTATGACTCATCAATATATGAATACTCCCCTTTCCCTCTGATTTCATGACTGAAAACAGCAGAATTGGACCATTGGTATCTTTTATATTTTATTATATTAATTTTTGTATTTTTGTGAAATAGTTTATTTTAATGTGTTGCTTTCTTTTTGCTGCAAGAAAATGAGAGACAAATAATTATAATTTTAAATATATTTTTAAATAATTCTAATTTTTAAAGTAGTGAATGAATAGTTTGATGAAATTGCCAATGGACATCGATAGTTACAGGATGTAGTGTATTCTACCTTGCAGATAAAATGGATAAGAAACCCAAACATTTTGCTTTTGCATATGTGTCTAATATAATATGTGAGGTTCTTAATATATTTTACCTCTTTTTCAAAAAATAATAATGCACACTTTTAAAAATCTAGGGTTCTTTAATAAATGGTGACGCATATTAAAATGAATATTGTCTAGTGAGAGGTAATGCAATCTTATACTTCGGATATAGGGAATCCATTGCCCTGCAAATATTGGAGTGGGATTTCTCATTATCCCCCAGGTTTGGATTTGGCCAAGCAAGTTGCAGTCCATACACACATAAAAATAATTCTATTGAGTTCAATATAAAATACAGATAAAGGTATGCAGAAGGCAGCAACCTGAATCTACTTGTATAATTGATATTTTTTATGGATGTTTGTCATATTACGATTTGTGAGCTATTCATGCAAATAGCCATGAATGAAAGTATATGTGGAAAGTTTACTTCCTGCCTTCTTGTATTCCCAGTACTGCAGGAAGGGAATGTGATAAGAAACAAACCACCATCAAAACAGCTCCATACAGAAGGTCATTACAATGGTAGCGTGTGACAGGCAGGCATGTAGCTGGGGGGGGGCGCTTGAGGGGCTTGAGGGGCTTCAGCCCCCCCCCCAATTCTCGTGGTGGTTCACGAAAAGGCCTTACTGGTGCATTATTTAAACTGTTCTGTTTATTCATATCATGATCTGATCACCATACTCAATATATCCTATATGCATGGGGGTATTGGGGTAACAATACAAAAGGTTTGCTAGGGTAGACCCTCTTTCACTCAGACTCAGCCCCCCCCGAAACCCCCCTGAAAAAAACTCAGCCCCCCCCCCCCGAATCGAAATCCTGGCTACGGGCCTGGTGACAGGCAAATTGAACCATGACACTGATCTGTAAGCAGGTGGTCAAATGGTATGCAATGATGGCTCAGTTTACTGTATGAGAGCCTCCCATTTGTATAGTACAGTGGTTTCTCAACCTGTGGGTCTCCAGATGTTTTGGCCTTCAACACCCAGAAATCCTAACAGCTGGTAAACTGGCTGGGATTTCTGGGAGTTGTAGGCCAAAACACATGAGGACCCATGGGTTGAGAACCACTGGTATAGCGTATGAGGAAAATCCTGTAAAAACTGATGCAAACCTGAGGAAAGTAGGCAAGAAACATCTCAACCCCAGAGTTGGCTTTTCACACAATTGGGTAAAAATGGCTTTAGATTTTGGAATAATTCTGAATAGCTGTGGAATGGGAAAAAACACTTAAGAAAGCTGATGTATGACCTGTTCTGATTATGAGAAATTGTCATGAACATAACAATTAAGTTATTGAGTTCCGAGACAGAAAAAAATAAGTCAATTTATTGCAAAAGATATTATGCCAGTAAAAGAATCTAGAAATATACAAAACATTATATTAGATTAGTACATTTCATCAGGAAAGGAATCTGTACTGAAGCCTGCTAGAACTGTGACAATGGGTAAGAAGAATAGGTATTTATTGTACTATAGAAGTACACAAACTTTTTATTTAGATCCTGTTCCTAGAAGACGGAATATTTTATTCTTACAGTTTTCTTCATTCACAATTCACTCTCCTCTGTAGGAGGAGAGTAATTTCAAGTACAGAAGTTTCAGAATATGCAATATGTGCTATACAGTATTTTACAAACATTCTCTCTTAAGTATCTTTCTGTGGTTTAGTCAATTTTTGGCAGCACATTATATATTCTTTTTATACAACTAGTGTTACCAAAAGTAATCTCTGTAGTGTACAGTATCCACTTTAGACCTCCTGGAATTCATTCCAAATGTATGGTAGACTGTCATCATATATAGGGATTCTCTGCTTTCCTAGAATAGTTTTACAACTTGTATATGAAAACATAATCTAATTCACAATATTGAAAGTAGAAACTAGTGTGAATTGTTCTTCAATTTCCTTGTGATATATCAAAGAATTAAATAAAATGGAGCATGTTTTCTTTATAATCAAATAACACATCTTTGTGTGTTTATTTTCTCTTTGCTTTAATTCCAAGGGCGTCCTTTTAGAATAAATCATAACTTTTTAGAATAAGCAATTTAATGTTATTGATAATGTCTTTTCAAAAAAATGATATCACCAAAATGGAATCCAACAGTCATTGAGTGTTTTCTGGGATCATCTTACATAATAAAATATTTAATTCTAATTGGAAAATGTGATAACTGGAAAAATATCACTTGCTAGGTTTGTAATAGTGTTTGTTTCTCAAACTTTGAATCCATGTTTCTATTTTGACATTTATGCTGTCTCCCAGATTTTACTATTTAGGAGGGAAACTTCTTGAATGTGAACAATATTAGATGTACTTTGGTCCTCCAGGTGTTTTAGACTTCAATATCTAGAAATCCCAGACAGTTTACCAGCTGTTAGGAATTGTGGGAGGTGAAGTCCAAAACAGCTGGAGGACCAAAGGTTGGGAACCACTGATATAATTAATATAGAGTTGTTCTAAAGTAGTTTCTGAAGGAAATGAGGGCATAAAATATGCTTAAAACTCAGAATCTGGCAGCTTCAAAAATTCCAAATGAAACTAACAAAACAAAGAACAAGTTTTCTTATAAACTCACTATTCTCAAAATATATTCAGGTGAAAGGATGGCTAAATAAGTGTGTCAGACAGAGAAGGAAAGCCAGTGTTTAAATCATTTTAATGGTTGTGTCATAATGTTTTAAAATAATTTAATTTTACAAAACCAATTTAGTTGATCTTGAAACAGCTTGTTAGAGAGTTGTTTTTTTCTAGATCAAGTTTGTTGGGTTTTTTTTTTGCACTTTAAAATAGGTCATTTTTTGACCACAACCAGAATTTCCTTGCATCAAATGGTTTATGCTCTTTCCCAAGTCATGATGATGAATGTACTTTAATCCTGAAAATTCTGGCTCCTTTCTCAGTTTCTGATTGTAATAATAGTAAAAACCCTAGTTGCCAAAAACCAGGAAGTATAAAGGGGAATCAGCATATGTGACTAGTACAGAAGCATGGAAATGTATAGTCTGTTTATGATGATTCAACCACAGGCATAATTCCAGTTGCTACTCCTCAATGGAACAGAACTCCAGCTGCAATTCCCGAATGGAGCTTCAATATGTCTACTCTATTTGGGATGAGCAGTTGAATTTAGGCCGCAGTTTGGCTATAACATATAGACCAGCTATTAGTGTTTCAAAACCAGTATTTAAAGTTTTCAGATCCACCAGAAGCATTTCTTTTTCTTTGTCTTTTTCCTTAATTCCTGTTTCTCAGGGACTGGGTGATCAGATGGTTGCTTTTGCAAAGTTGCTACTGGAGGGATCTCTTCAACTTGATCCAGTGTTTTCAGAACTTGATGGAATCTTCCTTCTTGTTGTCTGAAGTCATGTTCAACACTGCAGAAGAAGGAAAAAAGAGATTAGCGAACTATTCAGTGCATATTTCTGGATATAGTTATATTTGGCACAAGTGTTAAAATGCTGGCATTCATCTATTCTGATAACTGAAATGGCAATTTTGCGTTACTTCATCTGCCATATTGAATTTCAGATAGAAACCTTTTCCCATAATTTAGACGGAACATTTTGATCCCACACCCATTTGTGCCAAACCCAATTAATATAGGTTGAGGAGAGAATCTCAAAAAGATGTCTAGTTCATATTATCTCAGCTGGAGGCCATACTCATTTAATACATCTCATTCCAATAGCAATGGATGCAAGGTTTTTGGATTTCTAGTTGCCTTTCTCTGTGCTTAAAACTGTTCTAGTTAATCTGACATATTAAAGCTGCCAGTTGCAAAGAGGCAAATAATTATGCAGTAAAACATCTGAGAAAAATGTAAAAATAAATGTCTTGACATTTATCTTGTATATGGTTTATTCAGAGTTAATCAGTGGTAGAGAGGTTGCTAATAGGTTTTTTATTGAACTGTGAAGGAAGCAATCACAGTGCTTACATAAAATACAAATGAATTATTATTGTTTTTTAAACAGCAGTATGGTTTTTTTTGTACTTGTAACTTGTTTCCAAATAGATCAATCTGTAGTAGAACAAGCTGTCAGGACTTTCTCCTTTTTTTAAAAAAAAAAATCTGACTTCTATCAGAATGCTTGGTGTGGCTGCTTATAATAAGAAATCCAAACACAAAATCCCCAAGAGGAATTCCACTTGATTAAATAAAAATTTAGATTGTTTAGTCGTATGTGATTGGATTAATAAAGTCATCAAATGAAATGAGATGTTTGAAATATTTATAAGGCAAGATACATTTTTTTAAAAAATACTGCACATGCGTTCCCCAGTAAGCATCATCTTATAAAAAAAAATCCTAGTGGAGAACTTAAGGGGATAGAAGGGGCTTTCAATTTGCCTTATGTGTAAGTTTTTGAATTAATTTTTAAGTGTGCTGATGAATTCAGAACATCTTCTAAGCTGATCAACAATGCAGTCTATATATGTCTCCATGGTAGTACATTCCATGGGATTTGTTGAGGTTTATTCTAGTGACAACTTAATAGCAATACACTATATCCAGTGTTAACAAACTGTACAGCATTGAATACCAATTGCTAGGCAGCATAAACTGTTAGATAACTTTGCACATATGTTCTGCCTGTGAGTTCTTGTCTGTTCATGGTGGAAAATCAGGTGATGGACCAGACAGACTTTCAGACTGATCCAGACTTTCAGTCTGATTTGTTCTTAACCTCAATAGAGATGTATTTCTTCCTGAAGAAGATGATGGAGATATAGAGTTACACCTCTGTACAATAATCCATATTGTGGGGCAGTAGGGTTATTGATTACTCCTTATTATGAGGGGTGTCCCTATTTGACGTCTGGAAAGCTTGTTCTTGATATGACTGATAAGTGTGCCTTGTTATAAGGAATGTCCTGTACTTAAGTGCTGGGAATATTTTGCTCTTGTGTTCTGTTAGAAATCTAGTATTTTGTGTTCATTAATATAGCAATTATGTGATTTGTGAATGTGAACAATGTTAATTTTGCAGAGTATTATATGACTAGGTTAACAGAAATCAATACTTTCCATTGATATTTAGGAGAAATATAAACTTGTTAACATCTACTTGGCAACTCTCAAGCCTGCATGTCATGAAGTTTGACTGTCCCTTATTGCTATTTTAAAAACCTGACAAACACTATGAGGCAACCACTGTGAAGTTCTTTCTGCATATGTTCTCACCTCCTTCAGAGCAAGAATTCTTAGCAGGACTCAGCTGTAGGATCTGAATGACTTGATATGAGATAGCCAATTCTATAAAGGGAGGGAGCATGTCTCCCTTATGAGTAATAATATGTTTAACATCCGGTCTAAGTCATAATGTAGTTTACTAACCTTTTCCCACTGTTTTTTCATCATTTTAGGTCCATTTTCATTCCTAACCATATAGCTCATAGATCTATAGTTTCAGGAATAAAGAACAGCTTACTGAAATATTCAGCAAAACAGTAGTGTCAGGTTAGTTTCTGACTTCAGTATATTGGTTTCTATAGACAAAATCCTGAGCATAATCCAATTTATACAATTGAATTTTCATTGAAAATTGCATTCCTGGAAGTTAGAAGTATCTCTAGAGCAGAGCATGTTGTGGTGTTGTAGGGCGCATCTCTGTGGGTTGGAGTGTCATTAATGGAAATCGGAATCCTGGCAGAAATTCCTCTCATGGATCATAGAAAGTCTTTGACCTCACATTTGTTTTTACAAAGTTGTGCAACATAATATGAAGGAAAAGAAAATGATATGCTATTTATTGATAAGGAATTATTTGTTGTGAAATACAACATTGTATCTTAGAATATAATAGAGGATAAGCCTATCAGTAGTCAGACTATATATCAGTATATAGTCAGATGGCTATATATAATTTCAAATTTCAGAGATTTCCAATTGTTTGACAGCCACTTTGAATAAGGACTGTTGCATATATGTCCTGTTCGTATGCTTTCAAGAGGGTCCTAATAGCCACTGTGTGAGTCAGAGTACTACACTAATTAAATCTTTATGTTTGATGCAGTAGAATCTCTCTCACTGTTGTTGGTTGTTGTGTGCCTTCAAGCCATTTCCAACATAGTGACATTAAGGTGAAGTGGTTCTTGACAAGATTTGTTAAGAAACGGGTTTAGCTTTGCCTTCCTCTGATGCTGATGGGAATATGACTTAGTAGTAGTAGTCTACCGCTCAAATCACTAAATTGTGGTGACTCTTACAAGAGATGTTGAAATGTGCCAACCCACATCCATGATACCCTGAAATTTCTGCTCATTCAAGATTGCCCACTGCATATTACACCAAGATTAAAACATTTTGTTTGTCTTAACAGCCCTTCCTTGTTTTAGAAACCTTATGAAATGTGTGGGGATGGAATAAATTAAAAGGCAACTTGAAGGCATATATACACACAATACGAGTTTGTCTCTATTTTTCTTCTTGTGTTCTTCCTGGTGTTCATTGCCGTCATCCATTGGCTGTGGTGTGTTGCCTATCAGGCACTTAGTTTAAATCATCTGAAGCCCTGAAAATGTGAGGTGCAAGATTTAATTGGTAGATTAATCAATTAAAACTCAATCTGAGTAAATGATGCAGGCCATGTGTAATTGGTGAGGTCTAATTTAATCAGAGCAGCAGTGATTTAAGGAACCATTTGTTTATGTCTGAGGCTATTTGATTGTGTTGTCTTACTATAACAGGAAATAAAACAGAAAATAAGAAATACCATCTTCCCTATTGCAGCTGTTTCATGAGATTACACATTATTTTGCCTCTTTCAGTATCTAAAAATATAGCCTATATTGAGTTTATGTGTATATTGGAATACATTTAAATACAGTCAACCGATTTAGAACAAATCACTCACTAAACATATGTTTTAATTGTTTGACAGCCCTGCTAGCAGAAGTTGTTGCATAATTTATAATCCAGTTGTCTTCTATTTGGCTAGTTATACCATTGAAATTATAGTTTCTGTTTAATTCTTCCATCATTGAGATTACAAAGCTGACTCTACTTTAGAGCAGAGCTTTCAACAGAAGAGGAGACCCCAGAGTCATACAAGGGACTCTTGCAATATGCTGCATGAAAGAGAGTGTTCTCCTGAAGGGTAAGGGATGGCTGACTCAGCAGTGACTCCTGTTCAGACTGCCTCAACATCTGTCTCTCTCATTCTCTTTAAATTAACAATGCAGAGTAGAATATACAATTTGGCTATATTCATTTCCAAGAGGGAAGAATGTAGCACAGAGCTGTTTAGCAAAGACAAGATTCCCCCAGCTCACGTGTAATATATACACAGACAGTGGAGTAGCAAATGGAACTGAAAGTTAAATCTAACTTCAATACTCGCATTGGGACACTGTCTTCTATGGAAGGCAGGAAATTATTTGGGGAGTGGGATGCTGACTATAGCTCTGACTTTCAGTAGAAAGAAGTGTCCGGGCACTTAAGTAGAATCATTGCTGTTTTGGAGCATCTTCTCCTCTCTCTAATGATAGTCCAGATTAAAGGGTAGCAGCTGAGGGTAAAGTAGGGGGACTGGCTGGCAGGAGGACAGATATTACAAAACATGAGACAGTTTAGAAGGTGAAGCTGTAGTTTGTGGAGGAAGATTACAGAAGGAGTTGTACAGGAGAGTATGAGTTCTAGAACATATTTGTGTAGAGATTGGTACAGAAAAATATCACTAAGACAGGGCAGATCAGGTGAAGATAAATGACTTGTCTTTGCCACTGGGCAATTTTACCATCATATTATTTATAGTGAGTTGTATATTTATTATTAAATAGTTTCTCAATCTCTTTTGGGTTTATCCCCCCAGGCACCTTTTGACAATACACATGCTACTGATGGATCAAGGAAAGAGAATGAAAGGCGACAGTGTGTTTTGAATGAGCATTGATTTAGGTACTTTGATAAGCATATAATACACACTTGTACAATAATATTCACTTATCTAACCATGTAGGATGTGATGTATAATGTTTTTGATAGCATGAAAACTCCTTCTGGGGTCACAAATTGTGATAGCCTGTCTGCCCAAATGTGTTCATAAGTCGCAAGCATTTTGCCTGCTTATTGCAACCCCCAGAAGACATGACAGATAAAACTTATTAATTGCAGAAATGACATTGCAGCTGGAATTCAGAAAGCTGGTGCTAGATGGTAGTAGATAATCCAGTAGATAATCAATGTGCAACCAGACGGCTTTCAATAATCACTATGTATCAGATGGTCCAGTACAAGTAATCCTCCAGAAGTGGCTTCTGAGGAATTGTGTCAGCATACTTAGTTAAGGAATAAGCTTTTAGTTTAGTATTCCAGTAGTCCAATTCAGACTAGTAATATTCTTAACATGGATTATTTATATTACAAAGGTCT